AAATTCGACGATCAACCGATAGAAAGAAAGTAATTTTAAAAGGGAATTAAAATTGAGTTTATTTATTCCGTGGATAAAAACAATTCCGTGGAATATAAGTATTTCAACATTTCAACATGAGAGCTAGACGACGCGCAAACACCAATTTTGCGTCATGAAATATTACTAAAATTGGGTCTTTTTCATTGCGACTAATTTGTATCTAGATCGGCAATGGAAATTTCTAGTGTTACTACTCCCTAAAAAATTAAGTCGATCATGGGCGGACTGCGGACCACGGAGTAAGATTTTATCACATGATTTGCTGCGGCCAATTCATCGTCTGTAACAAGACAGTAATAGTCCTTCGCTCTTTGCTCCGGACAATTAAGAGGGTACGACTATGCTGAAGTTTCTTGTGTCTGATCCAGTCCTTGGCGGCGAGAACTTCCCTTGTTTATCAAGGAGACGCCATAGCTTCATGTCTGATCCAGTCCTTGGCGGTGAAGTTATGAGTTGTTTGATTACTAACAGCTGTTCGTGTCTGATCCAGTCCTTGGCGGCGACAGTTGATTCGATGACTTTGCCGAAGTTTCTCGTGTCTGATCCAGTCCTTGGCGGTGAGAACTTCCCTTGTTTACCAAGGAGACGCCATAGCTTCATGTCTGATCCAGTCCTTGGCGGTGAAGTTATGAGTCAGAGGGTATCCAAGTTATTTCTTGGTGGTAATCAGCCTCTTAAGCAAAATCCGAAAACATACACTTTATATAATACCTAAGGAAATATACGATGCTATCAAAGAGGGAGGGAGTACGCGGATCCTAGGCCATTTAAGTCCCAGCATCAAGTTATGTTCTTTGCTCTCTCGCAATTTTGAAAATTATCTATAACTAATTTGTTTTTATCACTAGTAACTACAAGATTCTCACACTCTTTTACTGTACTAGTTTTCCGAAATAAATTATCCTACTACCACCATTCGCGCAGATGCTGGAAATCAGACACCACATGGACAATTAGGAGGGTACGACTATGCTGAAGTTTCTCGTGTCTGATCCAGTCCTTGGCGGCGAGAACTTCCCTTGTTTACCAAGGAGACGCCGTAGCTTCATGTCTGATCCAGTCCTTGGCGGTGAAGTTATGAGTTGTTTGATTACTAACAGCTGTTCGTGTCTGATCCAGTCCTTGGCGGCGACAGTTGATTCGATGACTTTGCCGAAGTTTCTCGTGTCTGATCCAGTCCTTGGCGGTGAGAACTTCCCTTGTTTACCAAGGAGACGCCATAGCTTCATGTCTGATCCAGTCCTTGGCGGTGAAGTTATGAGTCAGAGGGTATCCAAGTTATTTCTTGGTGGTAATCAGCCTCTTAAGCAAAATCCGAAAACATACACTTTATATAATACCTAAGGAAATATACGATGCTATCAAAGAGGGAGGGAGTACGCGGATCCTAGGCTATTTAATGTGAGTCCCAGCATCAAGTTACGTTCTTTGTTCTCTCGCAATTTTGAAAATTATCTATAACTAATTTGTTCTTATCACTAGTAACTGCAAGATTCTCACACTCTTTTACTGTACTAGTTTTTCCGAAATAAATTATCCTCTACCACCATTCGCGCAGATGCTGGAAATCAGACACCACATGGAGTCGTGATACTGCTAGTTATTTCACTGCGCCATTATACGCGTGATGATGATCAAAGATTTTCTTGGCGAAAGATCAAAATGCCGATGAATAACAAGAAGGTAATGTATCCGGTTTGTTTTGGAACGTCTAGAGGAGGGAAATCGATTAGCATATTGATGCATGTTTCAAGAAGCTAACTGAACAATAAACCAATATACCTTATTATTGCTTTGCGGATAATCGTGTTTAATCAAGAATATTAATGATTAGATTTTATTAGTTTCACTTGATTTTTTTGCGCAAAACAGATAAAAAGATTCACTAACCGGGACATCACCTTTTTATACAATTTGTAGGATCGATTTCGATATACGCTTTTGGGGAATTACGTTAATATGATCGCATTACGAAATCTGATCAACGGCTTTTCCTTAATTTAACAATAAAGAATTTTACGCTATCCCGATGAAGTTGTGATCCCATAAATATAAATCCTGACTCGACAAAGGGTTTTTATTATATAAAATTCATTGAGTACATGACGAACTATATAATTGGTACCGATAGAATGGTACTGTGCGCATTTCAATTCTGAATCGAAACTTCATATGAAACTCGATCGAGAAATATTTGCATACACGCTCACTTCTCATCCTACTTTTATCACATCACACGAAAAAAATAAAAATTTGCGAGACGACCAGGAAAAATGTCAAGAAATTGACGATATATCTAGTAATAAAATTGATTAGGTAACAGATATGTTAACCACATACACATGATACAGTCGGACCCCGTTATAACGAAATGCGTTATAACGAATTTTTGTTATACCGAAGCAAGGGTTACTTTCCCTTTTTTTTTAAATATTTAAATTTGATCGTTATTACGAATTTTAATAGTCAACCTCGTTATTCCGTTACCGAAGTTCGGTTGGAGGATTTTTGTATATTGTACTAGTCGCTTTATAACGAAGTTTATCACGTGATACAGAATTTTAGCATGGTGATTGGTTGTAGTAATTGTGGTCATAAACAACGCCACTGTCTTGACTAAAGATGCCATAACCGCTTTAAAACTAGTTCAAACCGTACTAAATAATTGTCAAGCCAATAGAAAAGAAAGAATATAATTTAGAATGAGCTCAAAGTCTTTCGTTCATTAAAAAGGAAGGTGGAATTACATAATGTTACAAGCGCAATCTAGAATAAATTTTTTCTTCCTGTATATTGATATTTATTTGCAACCAATAAATATTGCTTACGAAAGCCTCGATATACCGAATATTACTTGATTTTAGGCTAGACTTCATTACAAAGAGAGTGTTCGTTTTACCGAATTCCTCGTTATAACGAATCATATATGACTCCCCCGTGCCTTCGGTATAACGGGGTTCGACTGTATAAAACCGCTACTAAAAACTTGTATGGTTAATAATCAACAATTTGTTATCATAATTTCAACGAAAATAACCGGTAAATCTTATTGCTCATCTTCCTTTACAATTTTTTAGCTCAATTAGTTCGCTCGTTCCAACCCAATAATTCCCAGAACCAATTTTTTAAAAAAAAAAGAAATGCCAGCTTCCATTTCCCCTTATCGTAGAAGAGTCAGTAAAAACTGTTGGGACGTATACCATACAAAAAAGTGAAGCATTAAGCCATATATGCAACAGCGAACCCCAGATGATCATGACACTATGCTAAGGGGAAGCATTACAAGCAGGACATATCTACATAGTACATGGGAATTTACAACAAAACACAATTAATTTAATCATATTATTACACGTCCTATTACTGATCAACACAAACGAATGTCCGGAATTGCCTATGGTCGTTAGATATATAAGGAAGGTGACAAGTCCACCAACGTCTGCGAATACTGGATTAAAGCTAGCTGTGACAGTTTCCGAATACATAATGCATAAAAAACATACCGTAGCATCGCAGACACCGACCAAAGAACCAGGATCAACAAAACGTCAAACGAGAAGCTGAACAAATGTCGTCGATTCTCAGGAGACATCACTTCCTCCATAATCAAAGAACAACCTCAATAGACGACAATGCAGGACAAACCGAGGAAAGTCGTAAAACAAAGAACGACAAATAAAACGATCATATCTTAAATCCCCTCGCGTGATTTTTTTTTACTCTTTAAACTTATCTGGACTGGACTTATTCGGTTAAAGCTATATACTTTAGCAGCTACGCCGTTATATTATATCAAGTACAAATACGCCCTCGGAAATGTGGCTCGGAACGTCGGATATAATATTATTTCCTATTACGCACAACCAACAAATTTTTACCTCGTATTAGAAAAAAAGTCGGTATTATACTTGATGGTAACGCGGTGCATCTTCATATCGCCCGATCATGTACATTTATTTGCAGCTTAATTATATTACAGTATAAACGGACTTTAATGTTGCAAAAACCAAATAAAAAAACTTTGAATTAAAAAATGTCCAGACATATAAATTTTGAAAGTTAATCTGTATGACCAAAACCGCAGTGCATGTAAAAATATTAGTAATCAAGGTCAAGGCCAGTTCTTATACCAATTACAATATATTAATATACATATCAGAGCATATTATGACAGTAAAAAGATTTAATAATAGTAGTCGCCTTGTATCGTGAAAAGCTGATTGGCTCAACCGCAAAGATTAAAATTACCAAATAAGCATAAAAATGTACGCCTACTTAGATTAACATAACATTTAATAATAGTAGTAGTACTTAACTTACACTATAAAAAACTGATCGGTTTGATCGTAGTAATAATTTCCGAAGCCGTAGACTATATCGATGATATATTACCACCAATTAATTTAACACAATCAGATTTCAAACTCAAACGAATGTGCCGCCATACAACAAGACGCAAAAGGCATGTACTTAAACAACTCACCGATCGAAAAAGGTATCTGCAATGAAATTATTACTGACTTTGACTGAGACATTCTTTCAATCAAAGTAGCATTTTGTATACACAGTGGAATAGTCCATCAATGGTATTCTGTCAAACATCTTATTTTATACAGCAGGCAAAAAGCGTCACGTACACAATTTTTTCCACAAAATTCATTTGCACTTACTGTACACAAAACACAGGAGCTCACACTACCAAATGTAACCCTAATACTAGACAATAACATACTCAACATAAGCTGCTGTTTGTTATGGGAAAATCTCAATATAATTACCCTACATACAGATGTATTCATTACAGACAGAAGGGTAGTTAAAAATACTGAGACCCTCAACTATTAGCAAAACAATCATTTAGACAAGTTACCCCAACTACTCTTAAACAGTCATCACACATATTATATCATTCTAACCAAACTTAATAAATCACACATATTATTAACTACTTCAATATTATAGAAAATAAAGTATTAAAAAATCGTTTCAAACCTCCATCTGCTTATATTGCATTATGCCCGGTCGACGCAGTCGAACAAAACTTTCCTAAAAATTTTTTAATTACGTTTACTTATAGTATGTAGGTTATTATTAAAAATGTTACGTAATAAAAAACCTCTTCTGTAAAGCCAAGTGACAAATTTTAAGCGTTGTGCTCTTCAGAGCATGATACAACTTTCCTATTGGGATAATGTGTTTTTATTATTTATAAAAAATGGGATTTTGTTTAAATAAAGACCGGTAACAAACGTATTGCAATTTCGGGTTCATTCGAGCAGTAGCAATTATGAGAATTAGTAAGCGACGTTAACTGCTAAAACAGAAATACGCAGATAACATAGTGTCTTGTCTCAATAATTGCGGGAGAGCAATCAATCGCTTGCTCTTAGAATTTAACTATTTTTCAATGGAGAGCTTCTTCCTATTTAGTTAAAATATAGCGATAACTATTGTCAACCGGTAGACACGGGGTAAAGCGACTACTCCCTTCCGACAAGTTTATTCGGGAGCTTACAGGCTGGGATACTAATATACAATACTGTATTTATTTAAAAGCAATTAGCTAAGTAATAACAAACATAATGCCGCAAAAACATCCACAGAACAAGAAGAGATTTCTAATCGATAATGATTAACAATCTCACAATTGTATCGAATAATCTACCAGAGAGCGAATTAGTTAACAAGCAATTAAACACACCGAAAAGCAAATTCTAGTCCCATAATACGCACTACTTTACCTAATTCACTATTATTGCTTCTAATACAGTAATTAGTATTGCTCCAATAAGTTTATCTCTTTACGTCAACATCAACACGCAAGTTTAAGAAAGCTATTTGATTGGAACATTTCATAATTATGTGTTACTTACTTACGTAATACATTCAATCGGTAGCAGTATACTAGTACAGCAGTAGCAACAGCAACAATAACTATAACAATGTCATCGATTGCCTCGGAAAAAGACTGGTTGGAAA